TGAGATAGGGAGAGAGATCCAAAAACAAGAATGAGAAACTTAAAACCAAGTTGTTACTTAATTGGAAACACTGGGAGAGGGGCAGGGCATGGTACTTAGGGAACAGCACCTGCAGGAATCTGACATCTTACATCAAGGGGCATTTCTCAGGCCCGGAGCATTTTAGCAAGGTAGTGCTGTACCTCATTTGGGAGAATGCTTGATCTTTATAGTGGAAAACCTTTCAGTTTTTATCAGCAGGCCCACATCCCAAAGGGCTACAAATTCATAATGATAAAAGCACTTGCAGACTGGATTAAAAAGTATTAGCTGTGTAAACTGTGCTCAACAGCTCAGTAACTAACAGTTGCCATCAACATAAAACAACGAAACAGGACTTAAACAAAAACAGTCGCAACCTATTTCCCATCCCACCACTTCACTAACTTCCCGAACTAAAATAAATTGAATGCCTCTATCACTGCAGAGAAAACAGCCACAACAGACCTGTAAAGCAATGTTGATTTGGGTTTAAGTTTAAAAGGCCTGCATTGGAATACTTTAAGCTGAACCATAAACTGGGAACTTAGAAATCAGCTCACGGTACTAAACAGACCATTCTTAACTGCAAACTAATTCCCTCCGAAACGCAACTCACAGTCAAATGGTTAAAAAGAACATACAAACATCCATTGCATAAAACAATAACATTCTATACCCTCTCTCTCTCTCTCCATATTTTCAACACCCAAATGCATCTAAAACACCATACAATCTCATGTTGGCACATCACGAGGGCTGGGAATGGAGGCTCACCGAAAACAAAATGGACACTGTTTCACCCTCATCCTCATCTGTCCAAGGTGGACCAATTTCTAAATCTATTTCCCACGTGTTAACGATGCAGAATTTATATTACGTGCCACTCACAAAGTGGTCAGATGTCTTTTTGCAGACAATTCAAATTTGGCGTTTTAAAGCAGCATACTAATTGAATGTAGGAGGAGGCCATTTAGCCTCTCAAGCTTGTTCCAGCATTTAACTTGATAATTTTTAAAAACTATTTATTAATTCATGGCATGTGGGCATCACTCATTAGACCAGCATTTACTAGCCGTCCCCAACTGCCATTGGAAAAAGTTCTTTTTCTCTTTATTCATTCACGGGATCAGGGCGTCACTGGCTACGCCAGCATTTTTAGCCCATCTCTAATTGTCCAGAGGAGAGTTAAGAGTCAATCACATTATTGTTGTTCTGAAATCCCATATAGGCCAGACTGGGTAAGGATGGCAGTTTCCTTCCCTAAAGGATATTAGCGAACCAGATGGGTTTTTACAACAATGGATTCATGGTCATTATTAGACTCTTAATTCCAGATAGTGGAATTAAAGTGGCCGTGAACTGCCTTCTTGAAACATTGGTAGTCCATGTGATGCAGTTACGTCCACAGTGCTTTCAGGAAAGCAGTGTCGGATTTCTGGCCCAGAAACAGTGAAGTAATGGTGATAATATTGTTCCAAGTCAGGACGGTGTGTCATTTGGCTAGGAACTTGCAAATAGAGGTGCTCCTTATATCATTTGGACCACGTGCACCTTTACTTGCCTTGGTTCCGAAATGAAGTGGGTTGGCATCTGGTTAAATATTGCCTAACAGGAGTCAGTACCTTCAGGATAGAAGAGGGGAGATAAATTTAATTAAAAAAAAGTATAAATATTTATCTCGGCGAATTTCAGCTGTGAGAAAGGGAGAGTCTAATACCATGAGATCAGAGTTGAAAAACAACTTGACAAATTAATCCCATTTTTAGAAATGAAAAGTAGAAAAACAAAAGTAATCTTTTTTAAAAAAAAGTTAAGTTTGAAAGATTATACCATATGTCAACAAGCTAACTCTATCGAATTTCAGAGTGGCCTGACCTGGACAAGGCACAATAATAAAACCATTTCTGACTGCAAGGTTGTTGGTTGGCTGCCAAGTTTCCCAGTGCATGATAAAACGGCATCAAGCTGAAATATTAACTGTTTTGCTCTGCCAGCACTGTCTGGCCTGCTGAGTACACCCCAGCAACTTTTTTTCTTTACATTCTTAATATACAGCATGTCCAAGAGGAGATTGTATGGTGCGTAAAGTTGAAATTTTGTACCCTGATACTGTTGCTATGTTTGTCCACAATGCCAAGCTAATGCAAAGGTAACGTAAAGCCAAGGCTAAGAGACAGCTTCTCTACGGTCAACCGACCTTCAACCTAAGTTGAATTCCGACTGAAAATCTGAAGGATGAGCGATTTTAGTTGGCACTTTCCCCATGGGCATCAGTGGGCAAACTGATGTCAGGATTCCCTGAGATTCACAAAGGTTACGGACTCAAGGTGGACTTCAAGGGAATTTTGAGCTTAAAAATCGTTATTGTTGCTCCAGTGCAAGACTGAAGAGGAACTGCATTGTCAAAAGTGTTGAATATTAGACTGGAATAGGTCCACAGCTCAAGTGGATATTAAAAGATCACTCGGTGTTACTGTACTCCAACACCATCATTAACTTGTAAAGATGTAAGAGGGGAAATTGTAAAAAAAAAAATTCTATGTAGCTGAACTTTACAAAGAAAGGTTACAAGGTCAGACTTTCTTTCTTTGGGATGGAGAAAATAAGGCAAGTCTTGCATTCCTACAATGCCCTTTTAAGACCTCAGGATGTTGACAAAGAACTTTACAGCCAATTAAGATTTTCTATTAAAAAGTGCAGTATTTGCAGTAATGTAGGAAATCAGACAGCCAATTTGCAAACAGCAAATTAGTAACAATCAAATAATTTTAGTGATGTGGGTGGAGAGATAAACATTAACTAGGTGAGTTAGCTCCTGCGCTCTTCTTCAAAGTCTTAGTATAGAAAGGGATGTTGTGAAACTTGAAAAGGTTCAGGAAAGATTTACAAGGATGTTGCCAGGGTTGGAGGATTTGCATTATAAGGAAAAGCTGAATAGGCTGGGACTATTTTCCCTGGAGTCTGAGGGGTGACCTTATACAAGTTTATACAATCATGAGAGGCATGGATAGAGTGAGCAGTCAAAGTCTTGTCTCTAGGGTAGGGGAGTCCAAAAGTAGAGGGCATAAGTTTAAGGTGAGAGGGGAAAGATTTAAAGGGACCCAACGGACAACCCTTTTACGCAGAAGATAGTGTGTGTATGGAATGAACTGCCAGAAGAAGTGGTAGAGGCTGGTATAATTACAACATTTAAAAGGCATCTGGATGGGTATATGAATAGGAAGGGTTTAAGAGGGATATGGGCCAAATGCTGGCAAATGGGACTGGATTTATTTAGGATATCTGGTCAGCACGAACGATTTGGACCGAAAGGTCTGCTTTCGTGCTGTACATGTCTGACTCTGATGGCACAGAATCTTTTTTAACCACCCAAGGGAACAGGCAGGGCATTGGTTCAATGTCTCATCTGAAAGAAGGCACCCCCTGGCAGGGCAGGACACCCTCAGTACCACACTGGATTGTCAGCTTGGGCTTTGAGGAACCTGAGAGAAAACCAAGTCACCCTGGTGAAGCGACACACACACCTGTGAAGGCAGTGGAAAGTTAGGAAAGGCGGGGGGGAACTGATTTGCCACCAAACACTGCATTGCTTGGCAGTAGTAGCACAAATAGGCTTTGGAGGATTAGCTGGCTGTCCTGGGGTTTGAGGTAGGAGTTTCCACCTGGAAAAATGGGACAGCTTTGAGATTAATCCTTCCTCCTTCAATTTCTGTTCAATTTCTTGCAGATTACTCCCCACTTTAACTCAATTAACATACAGTTAAAGGTTTTCTGAATTCGAAGGGTCGGCCAACCGGGATGCTGCTGTCTCTTCATAGCGGCAGCCTCTTATATCTAGCCATTCATTTGAGTTAACAAAGCCTTTAGCTTGGTCTTCTCTGCACTGAACTTCTCCCCAGAAGTGTTTCTTAGCAAGACAAAAGTAAGCAATCGTTCCCCTCTGCACTATCTACAAGACAGCCGGTTTTAACCCCGGAACCATCACCCGAAGCCAACACAGAAAAAGGATAGAGCGCCTCCTGCCCCACTGCTGGCTGGTGGTGTCATCTTCCTCCTCAGTTCCTGGGCTCCGGATGTCGGTCCTCACCAGAGATCTCCGCGCGTGGGGTCCGCACTTGGCCATCCACATCGCTCTCGCCCGCTGCACTGGCTGAGATGTTCTGCTGCACTGGGAGGAGGGGTCGGGGTTTGGGGTGGGAAGCAGTGGTGCAGTGTGCCTCAAAAGGTATTCTCTAGGTGCAGTATTCCCCCCTGCACCAACAACTATTGGCTGCTGAGAATGTGTGTGTGTGTATGGAAGAGGGAAGAATGAGGCTAATTTCTTCTTCCTCTAGCAGTTCGCTCTGCTTTCTCTTTCTGAAAGAATGCTTGTGTCCACTTGTGTGTGCAAACTGCAGCCATTCCCTGTTATTTTAAGCACCGGTTGAAATGTCTAAAGTGAAGATCTGACAAAAAACGTTATTCTCTCAGGCTCGCTACAGGGAGGCTGCACTTCGTTGCTTGCAGGGGACAAGAGGAGATGGGTGGTGTCATTGTCAGTGAATAAACTGATCTCTGTGTGTGTGTGTGCGCGCGTGTGTCTGTGTGAAGTGATTGCTGTTTCTCACTATGTTGTCCACTACTTGGCCAGTTATGATTTGACTACCAGAGCTGCCTTGCGGTAGGTGGGAGGAGAAACAATTTCTGCCCACACCACACTGCGAAACCCAAGTGTTCATCTGAGATAGTCTTCCCGCCAAGTCTTCCGCATATCTCTGCTCCTCTCTGACCCTTAAGTTGGTGCAAGGCGGAAGATTGAAAAGGTTTCACCACCCTTAACCTGACTCAAACTAATTGTGTTAAAGGACTATTGCACATTTCTTGTCTATTTACATTCATGACTTGGTGGGGTGTAAAAACTTAGGTTTTGATGGCATTGAGGTGCGGCCAACTCTACGTGGAGGCCCTTAATGCCAAAAAGAAGCTAGAAGGATAATTACGTCTTGCATGAACTTGCGACAGACGGGGCGGATCTCCTTGCTTAAGGTGGCACTAAACATCATGACCTGTTTCTCATGAGGAGTCATGCGAAAGATCTCCTGGACGTCTCGACGCATGTCTGAAAAGAAGTGTTAGGAAGATTGTGAGTTGCTTTGTAAATTCCTTATCTATTATCTTTAGTCCGCACCAACATGATAAGTCTTTACTCTACAAACTACTAACCTTGGACAAAGACTGGTACATTTGCGTTACAGTATGGCTTGGGAATCCTTTACCTGAAAACTTCAGGACCAATGGAATTTCAGATAAAGAATATTTGCGATTTCTGGATACACTTAGCTTTTGAGCAACATTATTTTCCAGAGCGTTTGGACGTTTCTAAAAGCAAAGTTTTTTTTTTCCCCTCCCAAACAGCTTGAAAGGATCCGAATAGACCTAAAAGTGAAGGTTTTTTGCTCTCCCCTGAAAGGATCTGAATAGATCTAAAAGTGAAGGTTTTTTAACTCTCCCCAAAACGCCCAACTGAGCCTGTCTACAGGACTATTTGGGTCCACTTTCAAAAGATCTTTGTTTTAAGATCCTTTTAGTTTTCATGCGTGCAGATAGAGAATTACCGACCTGCATATGGGATTTGCAACGCAGGGCAAGTCAGCCAGACTCAACCACACTGTGGTCCACATGAATCTCTCCCCACCTCATGTTATCTCACCCTTTCTTTCTGTTTCTTACTCCTCAATTGCTCATCTAGATTCCCCTTAAATGCACCAGTTCTCAATCAGTCCTTACGGTATTTTCGCATTTAGCCAATCTCTGCGTATAAAGAAATTTTCCCTGAATTTCCTATTGGATTTGATTGCGCCTATCTTATGTTTTTTTAAATAAGTCCTGGTCACACTTGCAAGAAGAAACATCCTCAGTAACAATCCCATGAAACCATTTCATTATCTTGAGGTCAACTCTCAGCCATCTAGGCTATCAGAAGTTAGCCTAGACCCTGAATTTTTCTTATTTTAAAGGTAAGTGAGTTCCGGATGCAATTTGATTGGTCAAACTACCAGATTTGAAGCAAAACACACATTATTCATACACTCTAATTAAAATACAACAAAAGAGAGAAGAAATTGGAATAACTTAACTCTATTGGAAAACTTAACAGAATAATAGATTATTTAGCTACAAAATCGGAACTATTCCAATATAGCAACGTCCCATGAACACACTTGTGGCCAAGGCCTCACAAGCTGTTTATTCTATTGGATTCAAATAAACAGCTCCACACCTCTGTCTTAACCTTTCTTCCATTAAAAAAAAGCCAGGAAAAAATACACCTCTTAAAGCCATAGCATCGTCACAGTCCTCCCAATTACCCCGCTCGGATTGTACACATATAAAGCTCATCACCTACCAAGCTGCTCGAGCATCTTGTCACACTCGTCCAGGATGAAGTGCTTGATGTGTTTAAGGTTCAGAGACTTGTTGCGAGCCAGTGCCAGGATCCTGCCAGGGGTGCCCACCACAATGTGCGGGCAGTTCTTCTTCAACAACTCCTCGTCCTTCTTAATGGAGAGCCCACCAAAAAACACCGCAACCTAGGGCAGCCAGAGAGACACAATTAAGTCATGTCCTCTAGCTCAGGCAGCTGTAACCATCACCACTTACAGGGAACGAGGCTTAAGGGGTTCGATAAGGGGTTTGCTCCTGGCTCAGAGCGCAAAAGATCTCAGACTGAAATTAGAACAAAACATGTTGGAAAAAAACTCCGCAGGTCGATGACCTTCTCTTCACCAGATCATGTCATCAACAGGTTATACTTATTTTGCAAATCTCCACGGATGCTCTCTCACCTGCCAAGTTCTGATTTGTGGGATGCTGGCATCACTCTCAAGGCTAGCATTTGTCTTCCATTCCTACTTGCCCGAGAACTGAGTGGCCTGCTAGGCCATTTTCTTATGGATGTGGAGTCACATGTTGGCCAGACTATGTAAGGATAGCAGATTTCCTCTTCAAAGGACTTAATAAAACAGACGGGTCTTTCAAATAATTAATGATAGTTCCCACTGCGCAGACTAAATTTCACACACAGCGATTGAAATGAAATTCCAACAGGTGGTTTTTTACCGACAATCGGCAATGGTTTCGTGGTCATCATTAGGATTTTTAATTCCAGACATTTTCTTTTAAATTGAATTCATATTTCACCATCTGCCTTGATGGGATTCAAACCCAGGTCCCAGAACATTAGCTGAGTTTCTGGATTAACAGTCTAACAGTAATACCACTAGGCCATCACCTCCCCCGACTAAATAAAAACAAAAACAAAAAGAAACACACATCTCAAGGAAGAATTGCTGTCTCAGAGCAAGGAGGGGATTCAAAGGAAAATACTAAATCACAAGAATAAAGAAAGCTACACACTTGGCAGTCCACTCTTACCTTCACGCTTGGCATGTATTTGGAGAACCGTTCGTATTCCTTGCTGATTTGGAATGCCAGTTCTCGAGTGTGGCACATCACCAGGACTGAAATCTAGAAACAAACAAACTTACTTGAAACATTACTGCAACAACAGATCCCACCATCAAATCAGGAACTGAGCTACAAGAAGAAAATATCACTCTTGGATTACAAGGTGCTGATTAACCTCAGTACTAAATTCCAGTCTATTGGAGGAAAATGCTGATCTAGAAAGTATGAAATAGGAACAAAAAAATGCTACAAATACTCAGCAGGACTGGCAGCATCCATGGAGAAAGAAGATTAAGATTGGGTTGATGACCTTTCTCAGAACCTCTGCTGAACTATTCAATCCCTCCACCTCCTGCACTCAGTGGTTCTCAAAACGTGGTTCACAAATGGGCTCCTGGAGGCCCGTGCTTGCTTAGAAGCGAAATTACTTGAGCTGTTCACCTCAAGGTTTGAACTTAAAAGCTTGTAAACAAACTCCAGACATCCCAGCATTACTTACAGAACAAACCTGACATGAAACTAAACCTACGTTTTTCCCGTTCTTAACACACACAATACAGGAATATAAATCAAACCTAAAGTTTGATCTTCCACTTCAGAACCCAAGTTTCTAAATAACATGAACTTTCATCATCACACAAGTGTAGTTTTATAAGCAAGTTTGCATTAATTTCTCAAGAGAATGATATTACAACATATTAAGATGCTTCAAATAAACTCGTTTTCTTGGAGCATTAATGCTTCAAGTATGAAAATGTTTACACTCCTGTTTCTGGGATGTATAAATAAGAATTGATACAGCACAGTAGGAGGCCATTCTGCCCACCATACTAGCTGGCTATCCCTAGGAATAATTCATCTAGTGCCACACCCCCTGTAATGCTGTATGTTTTGATTTTACAGAGGGGGAACATGCCAATTATAAGGGGGCATAAGTTTAAGGTCAGAGGGGGAAGTTTAAAAGAGATGCGCGAGACATGTTTATTTACAGACAGGGTGGTAGGTGCTTGGGATATGCTGCCAGAGGACATTGTAGAAGCAGATAATGATAGCAATGTCTTAGAACCATTAGGTAAGACACATGAACAGGCAAAAAAAAGGGGATATGGACTGTGTGCAGGCAGATGGGATTGGTTTAGAATGGCATCGTGATTGGCACAGACATGATTGGTCGAAAGGCTTTCCCCTGTGCTGTACTGTTCTATTCTATAACAGAACCCTCCTAAATGTCTCCACTGAATCTGCTCACCACACAGGAAATTCCAGATCCTAACCACTCACTGCATGCTATTTAGCAGCTAAAAGGTAGTGAAAATTTTACACTTTCCATAATACCAATGAGAATTTTTTGTGGCAGCTAGTGGAGCAAGATCAGTAGGTGGTTTGAGATGTTTTTTGCTCATCGAAGTAATTCCCGAACAAATCGACATCGCTGTAGTATACAGCATCCACAAGAATCATTGCGTTAGTTCAACAAAAGGTCATCAACGTGAAGTGTCAACTTTAGTTTCTCTCTCCATATTAGGATGCCTGACCTGATAAACTCTACCAGCAAGTCACATCCACAAGGTATGGAGAGAGATCAAAAATTGCTTTGAAGCAAAATTTGTTTTTTTCACATTTTAAAATGAACATTCTTGGACTGCTGCCAATCACTAATCCAAAAGTACAGTCCACCTGCAAAGTTCCAACAGGCAGTCTCCAGGACACAGATACCATCATCCTTCTGAAACGACGCACTCTTTCAACATACCATAGAATCATAGAATCCCTACAGCGTAGAAGCAGATCCTTTGACCAATCGAGTCCACACTGACCCTCCAAAAGGCATTCCACACCCCTACCCTTATCCCTGTAACCTTGCATTTCCCATGGCCAGCTTACCTAGCCAGCACATCCCTGGACTCTATGGACAATTCAGCCTGGCCAATCCACCTAACCTGCACATCTTTGGACTGTGGGAGAAAACCAGAGCACCCAGAGGAAACCCACGCACACACAGGGAGAATGTGCGAACTCCACTCAGTTGCCTGAGGCTGGAATTGAATCCAGGTCCCTGGTGTTGCGAGGCAGTAGTGCTAACCACTAAGCTACGGTGCTGCCCTGTGTGGATTTTTCAATCCACAAACACCAGAAGACCAGCTGATTTTGAGGTCTCCTGGGTCAGTTTTGAACAAAGGCGCATGTTGAAAATTATACCTGAAGTGGCGTTATCAGCTCATTCTTGACTCCATAAAAATGAACAATGGACTAGAGACATAGAAATTCAAAAAGTGGCTCAGGTAGTACAGAACTTGAGCATTGCTGAAAAAAATGACACATTATAGGAAAGCTTTTTGTCTTGGACTCATCAGGGCGATTCACAACAAATAAGAGTGTATAGGGAAAACAACCTTTTCACACTGCATGATGAGAGAGTACTGAGTGGACTGGTGCATTCTCCATGATGGTGCAATTAGGGTCTACTTGTCAACCAAAATCAAAACACTATTCTCATGTAAAAAGATTGTAAACTGTCCTGATTAGGTTTGATGAAATGTGGATTTTTTTTTTCCCTTAAAACCATAGAAACTCCTCATTATGCCAAACTTGACATGCACAGAGACAATCACGTTATCAAAACCTCCCTGCAGAGGCTATATGTAATTTCTACATCGCCTTGCTTCGGACTGGTAAGACGCAGTTTGCTGCTAACATTGAGTCAGTGTGCTAGGAATCTGACTTGTAAAAACCATAGCCAGATTCCAGGTTAAATCTGGCCTACTGTACATTGTAGAAATCAAACAGAGACCGGATGACCGCTTTGCAGAACGCCTCCCAGCATTTTTCCTTTTTAGTACAGATTCCAGCATGTGCTATAATTTGTTTCTCCAGTCTAAATCTTCTTCGAACCCAAGTTCCAGAGAAATCGTGTGTCCTCTGCAAAAGTGGACACTGATCTCAACTCACTGCCTCATCAACTTCAAAAGGAATTCTGTAACTTCAGCCAACTGCAGCCCCTGAACTCGAAAGCCTCCAGAAAGAAAACTTAACTTGACACTGACTTTCTAGGCTGTAAAGACCATGTTTTTTTCATTTTCAAAATTAGGAAAAGAACTATCTGTGTACATGTTTATGTTTATGGGTGCACATACGTGTGCATTATGACAATCTCTTCCCGGGTTTGAAAACACAAATAAAGCTTAAAGAGTTCGTTATGGGATTTAAAACTTGGATTGCACAAAGAGGGGAAAAACATACCACAGTCTTTCAAGAGGGTAAAGAAATAAGAAAAACTTAAAAACACCTCTGCTTGTGCTCTGAAGAAGAGAACAATGAAATAATTCAATTCACCTCTCCCTTTGGTCTGTGACAAACATTTCCTGATTTTAATCGCAATTACAGCTTACACATTAAGAATGTACAAAACAGAAGCAAGGATTGTCCATTTACCCAAGGCCAATCATTAGCAAAATAGAACTCACTTGTCCGGTGACAGGTTCCAGTTGTTGAAGAGTAGCCAAGACAAACACTGCTGTTTTTCCCATGCCAGACTTGGCCTGGCACAAGACATCCATGCCCAGAATTGCTTGGGGAATGCACTCATGTTGTACTGCAAGGGAACAGAAGCAACAATCAATATAAATAAGTGTCAGACAAAAGCACCCACAAATCAGCAAGTCGTGAAAGCTAAGAGTGCTGGAAAGCTGAAGAGATGTTTGAAAATTCTGTCAACTCACAGCAAATCAGTCACAGCCTTGAATCTTTAGAAAAAAAAAATCATTTCACGGGATGTGTTACTGGTGAGGGCAGCATTTAGTAACCATTTCCAAATGCCCTTGAAAAATCAATGGTGAGTTGCCTTCTTCAACAGCTGCAATGCATCTCACGAAACTTTTCTGCAGTGGTTTGGTATAACTTAGTGGCTTGCTAGGGCGATCCTACAGGACCGTTAAGAGTCAGCCGCAATTTGAGAGCCTGGCCTCACATGCAGGCCAGTCGGGTACAGACGCCAGATCTCCTTACAGACAGAGTGCACAGGAACCAGATGTTTTGCTTTTAAAGTGAATGACAGTTTCAAGATCACTCCTGAAACTCGCTTCCAAATGCCATAATTCAACTGATTAAGCTTAAATTTGAGTCCCTGCTCCCAGAGCATGAGTCTGAGCCTCTGGATTATTTGTCCAGACACAAAGATAATTAAATTAAACCAGCAGACTAAAACTACATGCATCATGAAGACTGGGCCACTTTCAGGCTCTCAGTCATAGCTTCAAATTTCAGACCGGTGTTCCGTGTACGCTTTTCTGATTATAGTTGGATATTACACAGATGACACTACATTGATAGTGAGAGCCCAAACAATGAGAAATTCGAAGGATATTACAATCTGTGCAGCAACAGCTTCAAAGGTGTTTAACAGAGCACAAGTCACGCTGGAAGCTGGGCTCGGATGTTGGATGAGGGCAGGATCAAAGCAACTGGTCTTAAGCGTGCTTTCGAACAGCAGTGAATTGGGGGCACTCAGTGGAGAAAATCCAGAATATGGGACCGAGGAGCACAAGATCCACCGGCAATATTGATTTTATTCACTGAATGAGCATGGGACATCGCTGGCAAGTTTGTTGTTCGTCCTTTTGATGGAGTAACACCCACGGTTGATAGAGGGGATCTGGTAATTGGATTTCCAAAAGGTGTCACATCAAAGGTTGCTGCATAAGATAACAGCACGTGGTGCAAGAGGGTGAGCGGTCGGGTGCAGGGTAAACACGATAGCATGGATAAAAGGTTTGGTTCGCTAACAGGAGAATAAATGAGGTTGGTATGGTTGTTATGCTGTCTCCAGTGGAGTGCCAGAGGGACCAATGCTGGGTCCTTGATTACTTAAAATGGACATCAAGGATTTCGATGAGAGGTTCCAATGAATGGTAGCTAAATTTGGCAACAAAACCAAGTTATGTAGGAAAGTGAGCTGTCAATAGGAAGCAAAGGAATATTAGACAGGTGAAATGAGTGGGCAAAATTTAGCAGATGTAATATAATGTGGGAAAATGTAGAGTTGAATACTTTGGCAGAAACAACAGAAAGCAATATTTTGTAGAAACTGAAAGAGACTGCTGAACTCTGTGGTACAAAGGAGTCTGGGTATCCTGGTATGAGTCACAAAAGGTTAATATGATGTACAGCATGGAAAGATAAATGTATCGCGGTCATTTATTGCAAGGGGAATGGAATATAAAAGTAGGCAAATTTTACTGTTGGCATATATGGTGAGACTGCATTGGGAGCATCATGTTCAGTTTTGCACTCCCTATTTTAAAAATCATAATTGCTTCAGAAGTAGTTCAGAAAAGGTTTGCTTGACTCATTCCTAGGATGAAAGGGTTACCTCTTGTGAAGAAAATATGAACAGGTTGGACCTAGATCAGTTGGAGCTTCAAAGAGAGGTGTTTTTATTGAAACATACAAGATCCTGAAGGGAATTGAAAGGATGGAAGCTGCGTCTCGTTGGTGAGACTAACATTGGAAAACACGTTTGGAACAAAAACAAGAGGTCTTCCTTACAGTCATAAAGGCGTAGCACACAGAAAAAGGCCTATTAAGTCTGTGCCAATCACAAACAATCAAACTATTCTAATCCCATTTTCCAGACTTGGCCCACAGCCTTGTATGCCTAGGCAGCGAACATGTACATATACATATACATACTTCATCAATGTTGTGAAGGGTTCTGCCTCTACCACTCTTACAGGCAGCGGTTTCCAGTTTCTGATTACCCTATGGGTGAAAAAAAATTTACCTCTCATCCTCTCTAAACCACCTGCCAATTACCTTAAATTGATACTACCGGTCATTAATCCCTCCAAAAGGGAAATATTTTTTCCTACCTACCTTGAATGTGATAACGATTATGATTCTCTTTGCCAACTCACTCACAAGTGCTCTATATTTACTACACCACGTTTCCATTCACTAATTCTTATCGACCCCATGTTGCAAGCAGGTTTAGATCTGTTTTTGCATCAAAGGCTATACTTGAATAAGTGTTAATCCTGTAACCTACTCAGAACAATGCCATCCCCACCATCGTGTCTCCATAACTCACTGGAAACTATGGAAAAATGGTAATATTAATTTAGCCCTTAGCAACTGTCTCTCAGGACCTGATAGGCTGCAGAATATCAAACAATTTCCTCCTCTAGTATGTACTTCGGAAATACATATTAAATGGGGCCACAAGCCATTTAAGAAAACTTATTTTCAAAACAGCAATAGTAAATGAAATCTCATGACCCAGCTGCGAGAGATCAGTTTAATATCCTCAATACTTTTATTTAGTACACGTATAATTTCTCACTTACTTAGATCATAAAGGTCTAATATTTTTACTAATATTACTAACTTTAAAGACAAAGAACTAAACCTCAATTATGCAAGCTCAAGCTGGACAGACATTCTAATCCCATCAGGAGTAACAGCCAGCATTTAGTAACTGATTAAACCATCTCCTGCTTCCCCAGGACAGATGTCACACAACCTTGTGTACAATAGATACAACTATGTGACAACATAATACTAAAATTTTAATGTACATAAAAACTGTGTATAAACAAGGCTACTGTAAAACTGTGCTTCGGGATTCCATCGCCACCTCGAACCATGCTACTGCAGATGCTCAATACAGAGGGTATTTCTGCCGCTCACCGATCTCGGTCATTATTGAAACATGATCCCACACCTGTCTATGCTCCTCATAATTTTATACATTTCATACATGTTCCCACTCGGTCTCCTCAACTCTTAGGAAAATAACCCTAGTCTATCCAGTCTCTCTTCATTACCTAAAACTCTCCAGCCCAGGCAATATCCTGGTAAATTTCCTCTGCACCCTTTCTAGTGTATTCACATCCCTCCGATACTGTGGACTCTAGAACTGCACACAATACTCTAGCTGTGGCCTAATCAATGTTTTATACAGTTCCAGCATCGCCTCCCTGCTCTTAAACTCCATGTATCAGCTAATAAAGGCAAGTATCCCATATGCCTTCTTAACTACTTTATCTCCCTGTCTCAGTACATTAAGGGACCAGTGGACATGTTCACCAAGACGAAGATTTGTTTTTACTTGTTTGCTCTCTGATGACCTTTAGAATCGTGGGAGCTGGGTCTTTAAATGTTATCAATGCTAAGTTAAAGAGATTTTTGGTAGATAAGGGAATGAAGTCTTATGGGGGTAGGCAGACATTAAAGTAGAGTTGAGACCATTGCAGACCAGCCACGGTCTTCCTGAATAGTGCAGCAGACTCACAGGGACTTGGTGGCAGAAACTGATGGAAGGTATTTGACGTGGCAGCGATGGACCATTAACCAGGTGGGTCACGAATTTCAAATAACCACAAAAGAACAATGCGGAGAAATGAGCAGAGAATTCTTCAGCATTCCTCTGGAATGTATCACCTGAAAAGACGGTGAAATCAAATTCTAAAGTAATTTTATTAAAACACAACTGCCCTTACACTTGAATTTGCAGAGTTCAAGGGAAAAAGATTGGAGTCCAGCGCAAAGGGGCGTACGGCATCTTTCTGGGATGAAAGATTCTATGATTTCAATGCACAGGTAACGGTAGTGCTGTTACAGAGGAGGACAAAGTTAGCTGCTGATGCTTTTCTTGATCTCAATCTGCCAGATAAATGAATGGATTGAACAGGCAAGAACCTAATCAGGATCAACTGTGACCTTCATCTATTCTCCTCACCCACAATCAAATATCCCACCAATATAGAATGTGCTCATATCATAATGCCTGAAGAATTACCTCTAGTCGAAGGGACTGAAGAAGCAGTGCAGTGGTTAGTGTACCTCACATCAGAGCCAGACCGTCCAGGAGTTATTCGAGGGCCCTCTATGACTTGACGTTTTCAGTCATTATGTGGCCAAACAGGTTGATTATCAACCTACAAATCCTCCTTCAATAGGGCAGACAATGAGAGCAAGAGAATCTTCTGGTCAGCCAATCATTTGATTGTGGGGAGGTGATGGCCTAGTGGTATTATCGGCTGGACTGTTAATCCAGAGACCCAGACAATGTCCTAGGGACCCGGGTTCAAATCCTACCACGGCAGATGGTGGAATTTGAATTTAATGAGTATCTGGAATTAAAAATCTAGTAATGACCATGAATCCATTGCCGATTGTCAGGAAAAATCCACCTGGTTCACCAATGTCCTTTAGGGAAAGAACCTGCCATCCTTACCTGGTCTGGCCCACAAGTGACTTCAGACCTACAGCAATGTGATTGACTCTTAACTGCCCTCTGGGCAATTAGGGATAGGCAATAAATGCTAGCGTAGCCAGTGATGCCCTCATCCTGTGAATGAATAAAGCCGTGCTTGTTGTGGAGTGACACCAGGATAGCAATACATTCTCCACCGAAAACCGGCCGTGAGGAGCTTTAGACATGGGGAAGCCTCCCCAAGTCGAAGGTACCTGAAGGGTGGGCTGCACCATCACATGCCTTCTGCCATTTCTCAGCAGGGTTGCAGGCACTCCACTGTAACGTTATATGAACAAAACAGCTCAGGAGAGAGCAAGAGAGCAGAAAAAAGAAAATATTGAAGCTTCCTGCACAATCTATAGGAGTTGAGGGTTCTACAGGAGTGCTGTACACTTCAGGAATCAGAATGGTGCTGACAGCAAATGGGACTTTAGGTGTGTGTCACTCTTTTGTAGATCACTGCATGCCCAGGGTGGCATCATTACAGTTTGACAAAATCAAAAAATAAATAAAAATGCCTTAGAGACTCATACCTTCAGAGGGGTGCTCAAAACCACAGTCGACAATGGCGCGCAGTAACTCTGGTTTCAGCAGGAAGTCTCGGAACCCAGAACTGTGTATAGACACATACGAGCCCTTCACATCCTTCTTCAGCGGCACCTCCGAGGCGTCACCGGCTGCTTGGTTCTCGACCTCGTCATCCTCGTAGTCCAAGAGCTCATTGTCAACATCGTTTTCCGCCATTCTGTGCTGTTAAATGTAGGTGTCCTTCTCTAAAGCTGGGGGAGGAGGAGAAAGGAAGGACACGAGAGTCTTAAATTCAAAATTAGACAGTCTGGTTACCCTGGTTATCAGACCCTGCTCTGGTAATGCAAGCATTCCAAGATCGCCTAAAATTCCTAAGCACTAGCCCTGCACTGCCTTAGTCAAAGACACGTACGCCTTGCCCACATCCGTACCCACTTCTTCCCAACCTTGTTTATGCATGTGTCTTACACTTGCAGCTCATTCTTACATAAATGCAGTGCCGCTCAGTTGGCACATGAAGATGCGGAGAACATAGCAACTTTCCATAAACACGAAGGAATTGATGAAGAAGAAAATAACAACCAGAAACAATCTGATCCAACGAGAGCATGGCTTTCCATCAGGTGCTCTGGTTTACCCCCCTCAGACCAAAGACATGCAAATTACGTGGATTGGCCATGTTAAATTGCCATAGTGTCCAGGGGTGTGCAGGTTAGGTGGATTAGCCATCCGAAATGCAGGGTGACAGGGAGAGGGCAGGTCTGGGTTGGATGCTCTTCACACGGTTAGTGTGAACTCAATGGGCCGAATGGCCTGCTTCTACACTGTAGGAATCTATAATACTATAAATGACAACAGCATCTACAGAGCTGTGGGGAAAACGCAGGGTGTGGAAATGCAAGTTTATACTACCCATATATCTCAATTTGTGTAGAATTGGTATACAGAGTAAAAAGATGCTGAACAAGCTGCTTTGCCAAGCATACCAAATGTGAGGTTGAAAGGTCGAAGGAATGAAACTATCACTCATCATTTCTTTAGGCTCTGGCACATATTGCTTGTTCACTGCATTATAATGTGATTGATTGGAGAGCTTCCATGGGTCGTGCGACCGTAGTAATGGAATTGCTGACAGAGACTGACATTAACATAAATACACCTTCTTGGCTCCATAATATCTAAAAGTCTCTACTGTGAGACTGACGCATTGTTGTTTAGTGCTAGCATGCATAGAATGAAGAGGTTGAAATGTAGAAGTGAGTAAGCCACCATTTGTTGCAATCAGGAATTGCTGCAGGAATTAAGAAATATAGTAACTGAGCTTTTGTACCAAATGCTCAATGCAGTAAGAAGTCACATCATAGATCTAATTCCACGGTAGCTACAAGTAATGACATTGTTTAATATATAAAAAGAACAAAATTGGAGGCAACACTAAGTAGAGATGAAGGGTGATGGGATTAACTGAACATCACTTTCAAAAAGCCAACATGGGCACTACAGGTCAAAGAACCTCTTTCTGTGTTGTGCTATATCCTGACGTTCTGCCTCCCGTTTCTTTGTTAAATTATATCACTCTTCAAAACCTACGCATCTCACTAGGATATGGATGTATCACCATCAATATGGGTAGGCCTGATGCCAAGCTGTTCAAATGTAGAAGGCTTCACTCCCATATCCTCATCTGGTATCAATACAATTTTCCCAGCTTTCGGGGGGGGGGGGGGGGGAATGATGGTGAGTGAAGACAACAGAGAGAAGATACAGCTAGATAGCAATGAGATGCACTGGCAGGTCATAGAGTCATGTACCGCCTGGAAACACACCCTTCGGTTCAACTCTTCCATGCCAACCAGATATTCTAAAATAATCTTGTGCCACTTGCCAACATTTGGCCCATACCCCTCGAAACCCTTCCTATTCATGTACCCATCCAGATTCTTTTAAATGTTGTAATTGTACCATAGTCCAACACTTCCTCTGGCAGCTCATTCCATGCATGCACCACCCTCTGCATGAAAAAAATTGCCCCTTACACCCCTTTTAAATCTTTTTCTACTCACCTTAAACCTATACTCTCTAGTTTTGGACTCCCCTACCCGGGGTAAAAGGCCTTGGCTATGACGTTCAGGACTTTATAAACTTCTATAAGGTCACCCCTCAGTCTCAGACACTCCAGGGAATATAGTCCCAGTACATTCAGCCTCTCCCTACAGCTCCAACCCTCCAACCATGGCAACATCCTTGTAAAGGTCTTGTGTTACACTGGTTCAGCAACTAAGAGGTTGTTTGTGGCAACCTTTTTACTTCCATGATATGTTAAAAATTATATAAAGGGCTCGATGCGATTGGTACAGAGGAGCAAATTCGCATGGTGGGTGAACCAACGAAAAGAATGGGGGTGTAATATTCCACGTCTAAAATTCTGCCATTTAGGAACGAAAGGAGCATTTCCACTCCTACATGAAGGAAAGTGTGGTGGAAATCAGCCCTTGACCGCTTCCAAAATACTGCAATCGAAATCTTTCAGATTTCTGAGTGACACATTTTCATCAGGTCAAGTACTTGACGTAAGAAAACAAGAGTCGTCTTTCACTAGCACGGACGCGATGGGCTGATGGGGCTTTTGTTTTGTTTGTACTATAGCGCTCCATGACCACGCGAACGACAGAACTGGCTGCGAAATACTGAACGGTCTCTTTCGCAAACCCCCATCCCCTAAACCAACTTCCCTCACCTCTTACCACCTCCCACCAAACCACACCTCAACTCCAACCACCAGGTACCAAACAGTGGAGATAAGTGGTGGAACAAGGAGCCGAAGCTAATGTCGCAAAAGTTCTGCAAAAAAAAAAAAACAAAAAAAAGAGGGGGGGGGGGGGGGGGGAAGGAATCCTCTGGGGTAAGAAGGGCGAAGCGAGCGCAAAAAGCAAACGTTGATTAAAATGGACCGGTTGGGGTTTGCAGGCGATGGAGGTGGAGTAGTCCCCCAGCCCGACAGCAGTGGCATGGCGCGAGATCCCGGGCAACGTTCCATTCTCTGAAGAAGGGTTTAGGCCCGCAACGTCAGCCTTCCTGCTCCTCTGATGCTGCTTGGCCTGCTGTGTTCATTCCAGCTCTACACCTTGTTATCTCTTCCATTCTCCCCCCCCAACGCCTCAGGAGGGGCCATTCCATTCCATTCCATTCCCTCCCGGCGGCGGGGGTTAAAGGCCGTACCATTCGCCCCATGGGGAGGTAAAGCCAGGGGGGATCTTATATTCTCCTCCCCGGGTGGTCTAAGGTGTCGCTCCTCACCCCTCATTTCTCCACGACACCCCCACCCCCCCTCCACTCGAAGCTGCTGCAAAAAGGTGGAATATCCCGCTCATACAACCCCCCCTCACACCCCCCCCCACCCCCACAACAACGCCGCGTTTCTAACCATCACTCCGAGAACTTTCTGAACCAGTAGCATCCCCATCCCTAACCCCGGCCTCGCGCCCACCCCCACAACCCCAAACCCCAAACCTCAAACCACCTCCACAGCACCTATACCTGGTGTGTATTCGGTCAGATAAATGAACAAAAACACAACGATCTCTCCCCTTTTCTGTGCTCACTCGGGTTTCACCGACTCCATTCAGCGATCGTCGCCCCCCCCCCACCAACACCACAACTACCACCTTCGTCCTCCTCAAGACCCTGAAAGAAGAAGCTGCCTGCCCAGCGCCGGTTTTCTCATCTCTGTTTCGGTGTGGGGGGAGGTGGGAGGAAATGCTTTACTGCCTTCCTCAGGGGTTTTGAGACGGAGGATCCGTCTTACAGCTATTAAAATGATTCAAACAGCCTTTCCGTATTTATTCTGTGGGTTAAAAGGAGGTTTGACTTTTTTTTCAATTCTTCATCACCTCCCCCGCCGACCATTTCCCACCCGTTGCCTTGGCAATTGAAGGCATCTGAGCGGACAGCCCTATCGGGGTTTTTTCCTTTTGGGTCACCGCCGGGTCTCCAGAGGCGGGAGCCGTCAATAGACCCGCTACTGCACATGCGCTATGCCGCGATTGGCGCCCTACTACACACACGCTATCGGGTTACCGGCGGCGCCAGTTCCCGCGCATGCGCATTTGTCACATACTCCCACCACTGCGCGCGCGTTGTCAGGAAAGGCGAGGAGGTTCGGTTGACACGCATGCGTAGTAAGCGGATAGCGACCGGCGCCTCCGGAGTAGCGCATGCGTACCTAACCACCACAAACCGCTCCCGTGACTGTGCATGCGCCTATGTACAAGCGCCTTCTTAAGAACAAGGGGGGGGTGGGTCAGAGAAAGTTCCTTCCCTAGAGCCGGCAGCCCCCAAGCACTAACTCTTTTTCTAAAAAAAAATCTTTGATAATTGTGAGATAACTTGAAATAGGATGTTTGATTTCCTTAATGTGAATAGAAAGAAAGTAGTAAGGGAAGGACGTTATTGTGTGTGCCAAGAATAATAAGCCAAGGTTCCTGAAGTCAATGCAAGGTAAACTCACAAGTAGAAAATGCTGGAAATACTCAGCAGCCAGCTTAGTGTGGAGAAAGAAACAGGGATGGTGTTTCAGGCCTGTGTCCTTTCGTTAGAACGGGGGAAAGTAATAGAGATGTGATGGTTTTTATTTTGTTAATTCATGGGTAGTGGGTGTTGCTGGCTTTTCTAGTATTTATTGCTCATCGCTAATTGCCCAGAGGGCAGTTAAGTGCCAACCACGTTGTTGTCGGTCTGGAGTCACGTGTAGGCCAGACCAGGTGAGGAGGGCAGATTTCCTTGCCTGAAAGGACGAGTGAACCAGGTGGGTGTTCACAACAGTGGATGTTGGTTATGTAGTCACCCACAGGTTAGATTATAATTTGGATGTTTATGTACTTAGAATTTCACTATCTACCATGACGTGCTCCCCAGAATGTCAGAATTGTTTGTTCTCCAGTCTGGAATACTGGAATGGTAATAAGGCAAGAAAAGAAATAAAGATGTGTTGAGAGCAGGTATGCAGTTGCTGGAAGCAAAATGTAAGGGAAAAAAAATCCAAAACATGCAGAGAAAGGGAAACAGTGGGGGCATAGACTATGGTCTGAAATTGTTGAACTCTGGGTTGAGTATGGGGCTAGTACTTCAACCTTCAATGAGACATTTTGAAGTCTTCTAGACTCAACATTGATTGTACAGTCACAACAACATACATACATTGATGTTGTGCCTTTAATATTGAAAGAAGACCCCTAGTGCTGATGTAAATGCACAGCAAGCTGGAAAGTGAGCAAAATAAGGAGGTAAAAGCTGTGTTAAGGAGATTGGTTTCAACGAAGGTTAGCCAGGAGGGGCTTGCAGGGGTTGAGAGAAATCTCTAAGATATGAGATTGGACAGTTGAATGTATGATGCCTGTTGGGGCTAACAAGGGGAAAAATGAGTGTGTCAAAGGAACAGAATGATTGGGGCTGTTTTGCAGGCAGAGAGGTTATAGTGATAGGGATAGACAAATTAAAACAGAAATTGCTGGGAAAACTCAGCAAGGTTTGTCAGCAGCTGTGGAGAGAAAGCAGAGTTACTGTTTTGGGTCTAGTGACGCTTCTTAATAACGATTTGTAGCTAGAAAAAGATTAGTGTATATATGTTGAAGATGGGGTAGGGGGAGGGGAAGGAGTAAATGGTAGGTGGAGATGATAGAGCCCAAAGAGATTTTTAAAAAATCGGTTGGACAGACAAAGGAATGGGTAAAGGTCAGCCTGAGGGAATCAAGAGCTGCTAATTGAGACTTTAAGCACAAAGCTAAGAGGTACAGAGTAGATTTGGTTAACTATATGATCATGAGTATAGTTTGTTATTTTCCATGTGTCAGTGGACTAGGAGGGGAGCCATTTTAAAGTCTCTGAGGGAAGGGGCAGCAAAGTTGGGCAGATTGAATAAAAATTTCAAAGATCTGCCTATTTCACAACATTGCAATATCCCAAAGTGCTTTAAAGACATGGAGTGCATTTAAAGTGTTGTCACTACTGTGATGTAGGAACCCCAACGCACAATTTGCATGCACAAAGATCTCACAAACGGCGATGTGACAATGATTAGATCATTTATTTCTCAGGAACGTTGATCAGTGCTAAATATTGACGGAGACACCAGAGAGAGCTCCCTAACTTCTTCAAAGTGTTGTCACTGGCCTGTTTTGCAACCACCAGAGAGGGCAGAAGCAGCAGTTTAACATCTCCCAAAGTCAGCACCACTCGAGTTGCAGCCTGGCTCTTGTGCTGAAATTGCTGCATTGAGTCGACTTCATACCCATGACAATTTGACTGAGGCAAACATGCTGCCAACCTGAGTCATGGCTGACCGAGGACGTTTCAGGTTGTTGTGACCATATTACTCTTCAGGGAAGTACCCCACTGTCACATCAATGGACAGGGTTTTTCAAACTCATGCAGAAAAGAAGCACTCCTGACTGTTTCTCTATTCATTCATCCAGCATTGCTGGATAGGCCCATCCCTAATTGTCCAGAGAGAGTTAAGTCTTAACTACATTGCTGTGAGTTTGGAGTCACATGTAGACCAGACCAGGTAAGGTAAGGTAAGGACAGCAGTTTCCTTCCCTAAATGGCATTAGTGAACCAGTTGGGGTTTTACCTGACAGTTGGCAATGGTTTTGTGGTCATCTTTAGATTCTTAATTCCAGATTTTTATTGAGTTCAAATTCCACCATCTGAACCCTGGTCCCCAGAATGTTACCTCGGTCTCGGGATTAACAGGCCAGTGATAATACCACAACGCCGTGGCTTCCCCGAACATGAAGGGCTGCTTGTGGGAGTAACCACTGAAGCTGAGCTCAAAGGGAACATCTTGTGTTAAAACGTGACCATTCGAAACAACCTTCTTTCAAGTGAAAATTTGTCAACCTTTCTCGAACAAGCAAATACTTGTTTAGATGGAGATTTTCTCCATACGTTCCCCCTTCCTCCTCACTCCCCATCCCCCCACCCCCCGGTTATTTTCAGTGTAGTTGAGGTAGTGGTCAGTGAGCCCTTGTTTAACTGTTACATTTACGCTACAGTTTGCAAACCTGAGAACTGGCAAATAATTGACATTTGAAACTCACCCAAACAAAACCCAAATTGCTTTGTTTCCTCATTCGCCCAAGTCCAGTTTAGCTGTCAGTAACCACTCGCTGAACCAGACTGTTTCACAGTTTGGCAATACCTCTGTTTTAAAATTCTCATTGTTGGCTTAAAATCATTCTGTAAAAATGCCCTCTGCAACATTCGACAATCCTTTAAGATCTCTGTGCTGTTCCAATTCTGGCTCCTCAGGCTTCCACCATTCCTGACAATCTACACTTTGACATAGACCCTTCAGTTCAACAAGTCCATGCTGAACAAAATCCCAAACTAAGCTAGTCCTATCTGCCTGCATCTGACTCAGATCTCACCAAACCTTTCTTATTCATGACATTGGTGCCTTCTGGCTCCTGAATTCTGGAATTCTTTCCCCTTCTCCACCGAGCCTCTCCACCTCTCTTCCTTTTAAATATCTTTAAAACCCACCCATGATAAAGATTTTGTTTATCTATCCTCATACCTCTTTTGTTATAAGTCCTAATTCGTCACTACGAATTATGACACTAACCAGCTAGAGGTTGTTGTCGAGATCAAAGGTATTTGTTCGCCCTGCAAAACACAAATAATGTTGACACAACTTTAAGAGTGTACCGTTTTCGCAATTTTTCACCCTTACACGTGTGCTTCGGACATGATTTGTAAAATTCTAAATGTAGAATAGAATCTCATACCTGTGAAGATAAAGGTCAAAATTGGCTGAGTTAAAAATGAGGCCTTCAGATCTGTTCTGCCATTCAGTTAGGTCCTGGCTGATCTGCAACACAACCTCTTTTATTCACCTTGGTTCCATTGAAGCAGTAAAAGAGCAATTAAGGATGATCAGATAGCTGGTACAATTGTAACAAGCATCGCCATTGACTACTTTTCAAAGTGCTTTGATTCCGTAAAGCCCAAAAGGAGGTCCTGCTGCTGTAACAGTAATAATTATACGATATTTATACATACAAATTTGGTGGCCCCCTCAGATCGGGTCAGGAAATTTCTTTTTTCCCAAAAACAAATCGCCCTCAGTGGTTAATTCTGACGCTGATTTGTTTTCTGTCACTCAGGAAGGAATGGCCTGGCTGGTGAAAGTAGTTTCACTTCGGAAGTTCTTGGTGGTCCTGCCTACCTGTGCCCTCGTCCTGTTCCTATTGCACTGCCTGTCCAAAATAGCCGAGACGGAGTGGTCAAAGGATGAGTCACAGACGGACACTACCTTCATCCTGCCCAAAGCACCCGGCAGAAGACCAGCCAGTGTCAACCGCCGCTGCCTACCCGGGTACCACTCCAAAGTGGAGCTAGGGCCTGTCGCGACGCGTCACCACGAGGACCCAGGTATGCCAGGTGCCTGGGGAGGTGCTCTGCTGCTGGATGGCCTCAGCTTCAAAGAGGCGACCGAGCGGTCCGTCGGTTTCCAGAAGCACGGCTTCAACGCCTTCGCCAGCGACAGGATCTCGATGCACCGCGGACTGGGGCCTGACACCAGAGCTCCGGAGTAAGAACCTGCCTTTGTATTGGGCACCTGTGCACCAGTTGGGGGGTGTGGGGGCAGTGCCAGTCGGAGACGGAAGGAGGTCACAGGGTGGTTGAACATGCCGCAATACTGACTTGTAATTGGCGTAGCGCCTTTGAAAGTTAGCATGACATCCCGAGACACATCATGGGAGGGTTCAGAAACAAAGTTTGATACCAAGCCGCATGAGGACATATTATACATTTCATCAGAGAGGTAGGTCTTAAGGATTGCCTGAAAGGAGAAACAAGAGACGTAGCGGGTTCGCAAGAGAAATCCAA